TTTTACCCAGTTTTTTGAAGTTTGGTCACCATTTCCGATTTTTCTGAGAATTGGCCAGCATTTAGCCTCCTTGGGCAGGACGAGGTATTACATAGTTTCGCTCCAAAATGAGTGACGCACGCGCTGCGGACACTGCCGCGCTCATACTTTGTCGAGGCCAAAGCAATTGGGAAAAGTGAGTGGTCTCAAGCTCATCAAAGAGAAAACTACGTTCGAGTACACTGCGATCGAATGACCACTCATAAAATGCTTGAGCAGAGCTAAACCTCAACCTCGGCGCTGAAGGCTCGTCCCCCCCCCCCCCAGCACAGACGGTACACTGGCAATTGAAGCAACAAACCCAGGTCAGCGCTCTATAAGGAATCTGTTGATGCAGAGTTGACTGAAATGAAAAGAGCGAGGCAAGCCACCGACAAAGCCACCAAGAAGGACTCTCGCTCTTCCTTCTTGAAATGAGGGAAGAGTCGACTGAACTTGCTTGCTTTCATGATTCTACTAGCCCGTCTTCTAGTTAACCGCCACAACGTAATCCAAGTTGGGTGTCATGTGATTTGCGCGAGTGTATCTCGTCCAATAAGTTCATGTTAGTCGCCATCAGATCACTTTGTAAGGCCCTAGCGCCATTGTCGCGCACTTTCAAGCCGCGACAACGGCACATCTGTGAAGCGTGGGCTACTCTGTCCCACCCACAGAATAGATTCGTGGAACGACATCTGATCACACATGGAAAAACTGCTTCAAATGCCGCAATGCTGAGACTGACTAATGGTGGTGTTGATTCGTTATAAAGGAGAAATCCATCCCTAAGAAGACGATTCGCAGCTTTGAAACGCAGATTCGTAGTCAGTGTCTGGGAACGAAGTCCGAGATATGTCTCATCAAAGATGGCCAAATCGACCTACGGCTATGTTCTAGAACCGTATGCAAAATGCAGCTAATTTTGGCAGGACGAGGGTCATCAGTGAATGTGAGCAAAATCCAGTTTTTCAGCATGCAAGAGTGCACAGAGCCTATCGTAGGTCCACAGATGACGTGATGAGGCATTCCATGTGCAGATAGTTCCCTATATACGGGAAGCGAAGTAGCCCCCGATAACGAATCAGACAGCCAAAGTTTACCTAAAGGCGGTATGAACAGAATGGAGCAAGTTCACCAATTCCCTCTGCAATCGGTTTACCCAGGGTGCACAAAAGTCGTAGGGGACAGTGGTATAGCTTACGAATTACGTAGCAAATACTCCATTGCTCGGTCATGAATCATTCTGTGCTCAGGCACCTCCCTTCTTAAACAGATTGGAGCCAAAACACTTCACGAAATGAGCATGCTGAGGTGGACCTGGGCTAGCTGTATCGGGGGTCCGAAACGGACTGCACGGGACCTCATCTATACGGTCCACCCAACCAAGGGCCCGAGAGCAGCGACTACGATGAACTTCACATGACATGTTTCAAGAGGGCGAGGGCTGTAGAGGAAACGACCAGTAGAAATCTAAGGAGTAGTTGAAAAAAACATGATCGAGGGATCATGAATTTGGGAGATAGCGCCAGGAACCTTCGAAGGGGAAAAGTGGCAGCACTAACGATATCGCCCTAATTCGCGATGTTGCTGAAGAGTTGAAGATGACCCTCAGCACTCACATAATTATTATTATTCTGTTCACATATTTTCTCAAAATGCTATTATTCTTGTATCTTCTCTGTAATGACCATGCCACAGCGCTTAACACTTCTGTGAAAAATAAATGCGGAACTATTACAGGTTGGGTCATAAGTAATTGCCGATTTCCTCATATTCACGCCATCTTTCCCAAACGATGTTTGTGTTGTTCCCCGTGAAGGGCTATGTGGCGACCTTAGTGTCCTTTCATATTACGAAATTCGACCGTCAGTACTCGTCTTTAGGGAGAAATAATGCCGTCCGTTTCAACACATGTTCGTCACTGTCTATTTTACGAGTTCCGTCTGGGGTCCTCAGCTGAAGGAGCCTGTCGGAACATTCATGAATCTGGAGAAAAAGGCTCGCTGAAAGAGAACGTTTGAAATTGGTTTGGCAAGCTTCGTCAAGGCAACTACGCTCCTGAAGACCAGCCACGTTCCAAACACCCAACGACTGTATATATTGAAGGCATGCAAGAGCTTCTTGAAGGCAACTGGGCATCAGTGGTTGTCAAACTGCAGTAGACCTTCAGTCCTCCCAGTGCACCATGTGTCGTTCCCTTTGAGCCATGGAGAAATTGTACACAGTGGGAAGATGGAATTACTCGAGTTGGACGAGGTGGCCCGGAGAACACGTGTGATCATCTCCCAATGTTCACTCTCTGAAAGACGTAGTTTTGATTGGCTTAAGCGCTCACTGAGGTGGAGGAGTGCGCGGTCAATCATGTCTACAAGCCGTCAGGGGGTTGTTGTTAACACATTCTTGATGCACTTTTAATTTCTTTCTACCTCTTTCTTCGATTCAAACTACTGCCGACTTTTCATAGTTGTCGACATAGCGTCCCAAACGGCATACTTATAACTGTCCCAAGTCGGAGTTTAGTGCACACGACCACCTTCAGTTAGCGCATTCTCAGCAACTATTTGCCTGTTTCGAGCCCGTGCTGGCGGAATACACGCCCAATAGCATGATCACGTAGATCTTCAGATTTTCTCATATAGAATGTAAAATTTCAAAAGACGAATTGCGGATGAAGAGATAAAAAAAGGCTTCAGCCTATGGCGAACATCAGCGAACTTTTCGTCATACATGGCGCTACCTTGTTGGGTTTCCCACGACAATACATCACGTAGACATTTCCCAGTAAGAAAAAACGTGCCCTGATCACTGCCCTCATCCTTTTCAGAGTGTGAAGTTATCCCATCGCCCTCCAACTCAACAGTTATCGCTCCAACTTGAGCCTAATTCGACCTGTTCTTAGATCAAGAGTTTCCCAGAGAGAATAGCCTCGGCAGCGCGCTCCAACAGTCTGTCTTCTACATTTGTTCGGTCCTGTTCTGTAGAGATTCACCAAGCCCGTCGAAAGAATTCTCCCTTGCTTTTTTTTCAATGTAAATATGACGTTGTGATCACCATAGGTGACACCCCAACTTTAAAGCTCAATGATTCAGTTTGCGAATAGAAGCAGCTTACAAAAACCACACTCTATGGACGCTCGAAAGTAGGTCGGACAGAGAACAAGGGAGCCCATGTGGAGAAGTGCGCCTTGAAGCGGCCATTCAAATAATTAGGATAAAGCATTTGAAATTGGAGAATAGCGACTGTTGGGATGCACGCGGATCACTCCGAGGGATTGCTGGGTGTGCCGATCCTGCGGTGGTCACTGTATCGAATGACCCCGACGTCCAGGATTTCCATCATCGAAAACGGCGGTGGCTTTCGATCCAGTCCTTTCCCACCTTCTTTTGGTTCTGCACTCGCTTCGTGCGGTTTATCTTTTATAAGTTATTTGTGCTACGGTCCCGCGGAGCTTCAGCCCTTAGCACCTTCTGACCCTCATAAACTTGATAGTCCACTGACCATGGGCTCTAATCTTGGTACGCTATCTCTCAGTCATAGTTTTATTGGTTCAACATTCCCGTATTCTGGTTTAGTTCATAACAATGTTGTATCCACTTCGTATTGTCTTGAGTGCAGGGTAAAAACCATGAATACCAGATCATATATCAGTTTGTTATTTCTGGTAAGTATGATAGAAAGATTTATGTGGCAGTGAGTGTCGGAAGTATGTAAATATATAGATTGTAGGGAAAGCCTCTGCGGTTTGTGACAGTTACCTTCCTTTCACTGGATCTTCATCGCGGAAGCCGTCGTCTAGCCTAACCTAACGCAAAGAATTTGGATAGCTATGTTCTTCATCACCTGTATCACCTGTCGTCCCGTTGATCGTCGATTTGCTCGAGCGGGCGCCAGCAACGTCTCCATTCGTCCCTGTCGCGTGCAAGAGTTGTCCAGTGGATCCTCCTCGCTCGAGGGACACGATGTATTCATTCCTTTCGTTCAGAGCTTTCGTGAAGAAGTCTGAGAAACAGCTAGTCCATCCCCTGAATCCACCTGCGTCTCAGGGCAAGTACATGGTGGCTTTTGGTCCGCGATTTACCCCCTATCCGCCACCTGGGGTCGCGCCACGTAGCCTCGCCACCAACCGGCTCGAGATCTTTCAGTGAGAGAGGACCCTCAGTGAAAGAGATCCGTGGATGTTCTTCATATGCGCATTAATGCGACGACAGGATCGGACTGCTGATTCGCCAATTACGAAACTTTATATCAAAAAGCCATAACAGTACTTTCGTGGAAGTTGCATGTTGCAGGAATATGTAAGCGAGAGGAATAACTAAAATAACAATAAACTCGCGCAATATGTACTACATGTAAATGCAGAAGCTAAGCTGTGGAATACACTGAGCAGGGAGAAAATCGGAACTTTTAAAAACCGCAAGGACTTTCCCTACGGCCTAGTATTATGGAATATGGTGGTTCAGTACAGTAGTAAGCTCACCATGTCATTTGCTGTTTAGGGTTGATGTCATAGCCGCGGACCACGCAGATGCAACAGAAACGAAACTTTCGATAGAGTAGGATGCAGTAGAAGTATGAGATTTCAGCGCAACAAGTGAAGGTCAAAAGGTGTACTCAGTGACAGCACTCCGCGAACTCTATGGAAGCGTTGTCGCCGCTTGCATTTGTGACAATGTACGGCGGGAACTAAAACGCGTAACAGTCCTTGTGGTTTTTAGAATTGTGTACCGTAACAAACACAACTTTTTTGTTATCTTCGTTCTCATTGAATGATACCCCTGAATGAAATAAGACCACGTTTTTTCCGAATCCTTGAGAAGAAGCACAACTAGTGACGAGAAAAATCTTCTTTATCATTGATAAATAGTATTTACAGGAAAAGAAGTATTATTAATCGACTCAACGTAGTGTAGTATTTCCATGTTATATAATTATAGTGAAAATAATCAATGGTTTGTAATGGCAATAGTCTTTAAATGAGTTACGTTTGTGCCGCGTTTAGACTGCTTGAAGATAAAGTGATGTTTTAAGGAGCAACTGATCCTTTTGAGACAACCAATGCCAAGAAACTCGTCGAATGCTTGACGATATTGTGAGCTAAAATATGAATGTGCATTTTAAAACTATAATATATCACACTCTGGAGTACAAAACTTGAGCAGAAATACAGTGCGTTTCAAAAGTATGTGCACACCCTCAAAATTCACGTTTGAAAGGGAACCATGAGGTTTCGTGCTATGAAATCCTTCTCAATCGATTTCTCGTAGTCGATAACCTATCAATGGAAGCAAAGCAGATAATATCGCCTCACTTTCGGAAAAAATTTTTGGATGAAATTTTTTTCTTTGTTTCAAAAGTATGTGCACACTTGAAGAAGATCAGATTTTGGCGCCGAATTTTCCACCGATTTCAATCCGACTTTGCTGTTTTCATTTCGTCATCATGTCAATTCGCGCCATACTTCTTCCTGAAGATGAGCAAGCTCAGATCAAGGTTCTGCATGATAATGAACGTTCCAATCTAGAAATCGCACGATAACTTGGTCGTTCTCCTTAATGCATTCGAAGATTTATCTGGCACCCTGATAATTATACTCAGCACACACTCCGCTCCATCCACGATCCTTGACTGCTCAGAACAACAAAAGAGTAGCCCACATCCTGTCGATTCTTCATTGACAGTCCGAGCTCAGATTTTTATTCCAGCCTCGAAAATGACCACTAAGCCCCTCATCCGCTCAAATGAATACACCACTCGACAGACGCTGAGAAAGGCTACTCACTTCAAGGCCCAGCACAAGTTAGCCACATTGGAGTCTGCTCGTACAGACATGGCAACATAGGATAGGACACCGGGCGAAGACACGCTTTTTCGAGAATTTCCTATTTTCAAAACAAGCAACTTTTTATGGACTTTCTCTCCTCAGGTAATCTTAACTCATGGAAAGAGTTCGATCTTGACGGGCCGGGTGGATTTTGCTACTACTGGAGAGGCTTGGCCGTGAGTCGCTCGTGCTCTCGAGAAGGAATTTCGGAAGAGGCCCGTTGATGGGTCTGCGGCGGTTTCGCAATCAGCGGAAATTCAGAAGTTGCCGTTCCATTATTGCGTATGAACTGTAAAGAATACCAAGCAGTGCTCCAATGTCACCTGTTGCCCTTTCTTAGCGAAGCGGAGCGAAAATTGCATTTTTAGCAACAGGACCACGTGTCTTTCGATGCTTCGCAATCTACCAAAGAATGGCCTTAACCAAATGGTGCTGAAGCGATAGATTGGCTTGTGTGTCCTCCTTACTGCAACCCTATAGGGAGCCCTTGATCAAGGCGTTAACTTTAGCAACCGGCAGTATAATACCGCGGATGAACTGAAGGCGGCGGTAGAGGCTATTTGGGCCGACAGCGACGAAACAGCTATGCCAAACGTGGTTCAGATTATGCCGGACAGGATGTTTGAGCTAATTAGAAACTCTGGAGGCCCCACTGATTTCTAATCTCAGCTATGTTTTTGTCTTTTGTTAAGTGTGCACATACTTTTGAAACAAAGAAAAAAATTTCATCCAAAATTTTTTTCGAAAGTGAGGCGATATTATCTGCTTTGCTTCCATTGATAGGTTATCGACTACGAGAAATCGATTGAGAAGGATTTCATAGCACGAAACCTCATGGTTTCCCTTTCAAACGTGAATTTTGAGGGTGTGCACATACTTTTGAAACGCACTGTAGTCACTGCATGCCTTATAATACAGCAGACAAAGTAGCTTGACCGGAAAAAAATTTCAAAAAATGCATCAGGCCAGCACTACAGCAAAGAGGTACAGAGTTGATGCAAAAGGCACTCAATGTATGACAAAAAGGCAATTTTTCAAAGACTATGATCCAAGCTATATACAAACTAACTTAAAGGACGAATTCACGATCAGAGGGAAAATCGAATTAGGAAGAATTCACCTGGTTGAGGGACCCGCGGAGCTCCTAAGTGTGCGAACTGAAGCACAATTTGCACAGGAGGAGTTGACCTCGTTGACCTATTAAGGTTTAATCCCGCCGCGGCTGGTCAGTGCACGCCCACCGATCATCTGATCACTCGCCGCAGGTCTATACGTGGTGAGTGATTAGATAGGTGAGAGAGCGTAGTGTTGAAGAGGGCACAGCGATGATAGTCGCATCAATGCTCAAATCAACGGGCAAGGAAGGGGTCCCATTTCTCGGGTTCTGGGCCGTTTCTCATGGTTTTTCCTTCTTTCGTGTACCACTCACCATCCCTAGGTTAATTTGAAATGGGTTGCCTTTCCAGCGTGAATTCGTCCTTTAAGCTCCGCACGCAACCACGCACATGACACCGAAGGCTTCGGTGAAACTGGACAGTCGGTGGAGCATTAGGGTAAGAAACAAATTGTTCCGTAAAATGCGTTAGTTGACAGTCCGCTTGATACACGCGGATGAGTAAAGGTATTTCTGTAAACAACCACCATCGGCCGAATAATTTGGCGGTCTAATAATCTTTGATGGAATGGGAATACCCAGTGCCGACTATCATGTTTTTTCAACATCCACTGTACATTTCTAGGATCTTGGGGATTGTAGCGCCGAATGGTTATTTGAGCTGAGGAGACGGCAGAAATGAAATGATTTTGGAATGAATTGTGTTATCTCGAATCTGCTTTTGAGTGACCTCTATTTTCTTGTGCATGTCGTTATTATCAGTCCTTTTCATGGACTCCGTCCAAATGTTGGGAGGTGAGAACACTTTCTAGAATCATGTTTTCCTACCACCACACCTGGAAAATCGAAGTGATCCTGCGGTGAAGGCTCTGGGTGCATTTGTTGTTCCCACTTGTCGCCATATGAGGGTGTGACAAAAATCACAACTCACAACAAACCTGTTCTTATCCGGGAAGAGCACGCGTCGCCTCCCAATTCCTATTCTCTCGCCAACGTGTCGTGCCAGGCGTAGTAATTGAACTAAACCACCATAGGTAGCCGTGCAACCATTCTGCTATGTAATGCGTGCTCTACAGTTGTGTTCGGGGTTGGAAATGCATCGACCGATGGAAAAAATTTCTTCTTGCCTGTTACACAACATCATGGTCACTTATTGCTGTAGTGAACCGACCAAGAACTGCATGCATCACGCAGCAGTGGCTATGATTTGGTGATTTGTAATGCCGATGCACATGAAACAACGCAGGAGGCAATACATTCTCCTTCCAGGTTAGCGGTAATTCTTCTTTGCGTAAGTCATTCATCTACATTCTCCGAGCAATTTTATGATGAAGAACGCCATTCGCGTACCATAACTGCTCGCTGATTGACACAAATTGCGCATTTTTCACTCATATAGTGCCTATGAATGCAGGACGACATCATCATTCGTGCACAGAAGGGCTCTCTGCTTAATCTCAGATCTGCTTGGATTGGCGCGTTGACGCCATATGCAAGCGGATCTGAGATTAAGCAATACACACCTCTCTGTGCAAGAATGGAAAACATTTGACCCACACCTTCACCCATTTCCATCTAGCTGCTTGTTATGCTTTTTTGTCTATATCGTTTATGTTTCCCACACCTCGTAGATTGTTTTGGTATGAACACCTTCATATTGTTTGACGTAGGTATGCGAGCGATTTCTGAATTGAACTCCAACTCACCTGGTTGTGTAGTAGACAAAAAAGTTCACTGCCGTTGCAGACGTTATAAATAATAACCCTGTTTCCCTTAGAATAGCGCCGTCAGCACCAAAAGCAGTACCGACGGACATGATGACCATGGTAATAAAGAAGCCGAATACTACCACCATGCTGGTCAAAATCACGGACTTATAAATCCGCTTGACATTCGCGCCTTCTGAAGAATTATAATTACATCTCCGTATTGTACTCGATGGTGAAAGTATGCGGGCCGAGATGACTGGAGATGAAAACAACCAACAAAGCGATCAAGCCTTCGACAGGAACCCTCCTACTTTTCTAGTGAGATGACAAAGGTTAGTGCCTTCCTCCGTGATTCCACTAACCCGCGCTTACCTGAATTAGCCACTACGTCTAATAAGCGTCGCGTACTAGGGGAGTGCAGGAGTTACGTTGGTCATCAGCTCACATTCGCTCTCATTAGCTCACCTTGTAGGTTCTAGCGTCACGGTACTAGGTAAGAGCAAATGCGCTTCTGTGCACGACTGCGCAGACAATTCGATCCAAGCCACACAACAGATTGTTGCACACGACCTCATCTGGGAGTGCTGCTTTAGCCCGAGTCTTGCCACACCGCTGTGAAAGTGGTGCAATGTGCACTCGATCTCAGTGTCATTTTTCTAAAATTTTGAGTGCCTTCATGATCAGATCCCAAGGAAGTCAATGTTATTAGGTCGTGAAGAATGTTCGGTGTTTCGTTTTTGAACGCTTTATTTTGTTACGAATTCAAGCAAGCTGCCAATGAGCTGTATGTGGTTTTGAAGAGCTTTTCTTGTTCTATCTAACAGCTAGCTAGTTCCTTATTATTTAGTTGTCATTTTTTGAAGCCTTGAATACGGCATACTCCAAGAGCAAATTTGCATGATTTCCTTTTTCTAGCTCAAAGCAGGCCAGTATGGAGAGGAAGCAGGTCAAGATATTATAGACGCACTTGGCTGAGATTCGCAATAAATATGGTCTGAAGCAATTGTTCAAAAAGCTTTTGTAAGAATAGCGAGAGCCCTAAAGATTGTGAGGGTGGTGATCGGAGATTGGACAACGCCAACGATTAGTCGAACGTTCTGGTTGAAGCACGTTTGCACAAATCTATTGAGAGGGTTCCTCCTAAACTAATCGCACTTGCATTGTGTTTTCTTGTTGTACGGGAAGAGCTGGAAAGTCCCAAAAATTCAAATAGGGCGTGCCGCGACAGCTCACCATTTTGAAGGGTCGTTCGCCGCGTTCTAGCTTGTTTCATGCCATGAAAACGACCTGACTTTTTGATCATTTGCGACGCACGACAAAGAACGGATTCTATAGAACAGAATACGGAGCTCTAGAGACGATGAACCCGGCGGAGGTCGTTTCCAGCATCATGTTGGTTTTTGAAGCATAACTCTTTGGAGAAGCTATCCAGGTAGTCGAGAAAGTGACAAATTATAGGCAAAAGGTCTACCGAGTAGGATGTTCGCAGGACTAATTCGTAGCCAATCTTGTCAACTTCTGCAGGGTTGGTTGTGGAAATGTGCGTCCGAGCTACCTGTCAGGGACGACCCGGTTCCTTTATAATGAGAAATTTCGAGC